GGGGTTGTGTATGCAACACGGCCATCCCACGTGGCGTGGGAAACCTGTGGTGCGGCTCACCAAGATCCCATTAGCAGTTAGCCTGCATGTATAATATGCAGAATGACCCGATAATCATCCAATATTATTAGTTAAGCAGGGAATGAAGGGGGCAAAAAAAAGCGGGCGGTTTGTTAAGGAGCATGAAGGTCTTAGTAATTAGTGTTAGTAGGTTAGGTGTTAGGAGAGGGACAGGTCCCAAACGTAGGGGGGGTGCACGCCCTTAAGCGCGCTTTTCGCTGCATAGCACCCATAGCAGCTCATCAGAGGGATTAGTATTAGCTCCAATCAACAGTGAAGGGGAGGGGGGGCATTTCGGGAGGGTAGGGAAGCGAGGGACAGAAGGGGGGAGGGGGGGCATGGAGCAGGATGAAGTTAGGATTCCATACCTGAGGGGTCAAGATCGGTGCAGCTTGAGGATCAGTCGCCGCCATAGCGCTTCGTGCGCTTGCATAACGAGACGTTAGATCGCTTTCAACGTAAGCTGAGCGTCCGGTGGGCGGACGAACTTCTCACTGACACCCAAAGTAGGAACAGCTAGGCGAACAACTCTTCCTACAGGAGGAACAGCTGAGCCATGAAGGAGACGGTTGGTTTGGTCATGCAGGCGAGAACTCGTGCGTTAAGCGCACGGGGGCGCGAGTCGTTATGGAAACAACCGTAACTCTTGCATGAAAGATGCATAGCAGAGAGGGTATGAAACCTACGGGTAATTGGTATATGATAGAATACTAAAGTTTTTAAGGATGGTATGGCATAGATTGGGTAGTTTGGGTGTAAGGGTAGGGGCTCCATTTTGGCAGAGGTTGTTACACAGATATGAGCGGTGCATATGGCGCTTTCGGATACGGGGGGGTAAAAGCAGCGTGTAGTGATTTCTTGTTTAGCGACCTTCTTAATTTTGCGATGGGTAGGGGGTGTATCTGCGTATGTTATCTTTACCATAAGTGACGGGCCTAGGTGATGTAATCCTTTGGGTGAGGTCAATGGGTACGTGCATATGGGGTGTGGGTTCTGGTGAGATTTTTGGGTGGGTCGTAGTGGGATTACAGCCGATAATTAAGTGCGTGGGTATGGTCGTTGAGATGTCATGGCTGTTTAGTTCTTCTTTTGTCTGTACGTGTATCGGCCCGTGGGGTTTTGTCTTGTTTGTCTGTCGTTTTTTTCAGGGGAGAGTTTTGGCTATGGCGGGAGCGGGTGTTTGTCGTTTCTTCTTCTGTCCATCGTGTGTGTGCTTTTGTCTTTTTGTCCTGTGCCTATTTGTGTCGTTTCAGGGTGGTGGTACTGTGGGTTGTACCATTATTTGTTTGGTAGTGTGGTACCGTGTGCGAAACGTTTTATGCGTAGCGCGTGAAGTTTGTGTAATTATAGTTAAGTTATCTGCGTTATTGTGTTCATTGTTGTGCAGACCCATAACTGTATTACGGTCGATGTATGCTGTGCATGAATTGCTAGCGTTTCCAATTTGTGGGAGGTGTGGTGTGTGCTGTATTGTGAAATCGTGTATCCGTCGTTTATTGGGGGGAGCATGTGCTATGCGGAGGCCTTATTTAATTATTCATGAAAATAGTGTTCTTTTTTTGTATAAAGATAGCTAGGTTCAGGCTTAAATTAATTTATTTATTACCAATGTATAGGTGTATTTTATATATTTTTGTATATATATATATATTTCAGTTATTTTATTATTTATTATTTTATCATTATTTAATTGTTATTTAGTTATTTTTATTTATAATATTTTAATATTTTATAGTTTTACTTTATAATTATGTATATATTTTTTTAAATTTTATTTTTAATTATTATTACTTTATTTTTTGTACGAAAGCTTAAAATTTTAATTATTCTTGTTGAAAATAACAACCTTTTTGCGTATTCTTAGAAAGGTTAGCAAGAAGCCCTCAAAAAGAAAAAAGAAAATACAAATATAATAAGAAATTGAATTGTGAATATGTGTGTGTGTGTGTGTGTGTCCCTCCCCGTTCCCTCGTAATGAAGGAGCGGGTGGGGTAGGTCTTTTTTGTATTGGATTAAGAACCTACCCCACCCGGGGTAGGTCCTCCATGCGAACCAAGCCAGTTTTGGCTACATCACACACGTGTTCTTATTTTTTGTTCTTGTGTTGCCTATACATTACTGTTTTGAAGCTGGTGTAGTACGTTTTGTGGGCAGCATCGAAAAGGTTAGTATTCTTTTGGGTGTTGTAATATTTTATTGATAATGCCTAGCAGTCTATGCCTTGGGAATCCACTATGCACTAGACAGTTAACAGTATTTAGGATTTCAGAGGCCGCATGTTGTTCGTCAGTTTCAATGAGCATTATCGTGATGATTTGTGGGATGACAAGGTTCAGTGATTGTTGTGTTGGTCTGTTAGAATGTGCTCGTATGAATCGGGTGATCGGGAAGCCCAACTCCCATCTTTTGTCATATTTGTAGGTTTTGTATTGTCCAGTGACGGGGTTAGTGATTTCAATTGTAGTGTTGAGGAAGTTTGCTTTGATGTCGATATCTCTGTTGTTGCTATGCATTTTCTCTGTGGTCTGGTCGTTAATGGTGATAAGGTGTAGTGGGTATAGGAAGTACTTGCTTCTTGTGCTTGTGATTTCGGGGTTGAGGAATTCATGTATTCTAGGATTATTAATGATGTGGAGGTCATCGAAATATCGAAACACATGTTGAAACAAGGGAAGTAGGTGCATGTTAGCCTTGTGAGTGATTTTTTTCATGAATTTGTATTCGTATTTGAAAAAATAAATATTACACCACATTGGTGAGCAGCTGACACCCATGGGGTTGCCAAGTGTCTGTTTCCAGACTGCGTTACCAAGTGACGTGTATGCGTTAGTAATGAGCCAATTGTTGATGGCGCAGACTATTTCACAGTTGAGAGTTAAGTGCCCGGGGGGAGGGTGGTGAAACCAGTCGCAGTGGGGGGTTATCTGGTCGGTTTTGTAATAGAGTTTGAAGGTAAGCTGTATACCTCGACCATAGATTGCCTTGGCTTGTTGGAACGCTTAAAGAACAAAAGAGCATTAGGGAGTCCATCCGGGCTACTATCAGTGGGAATGGTTTCATAGCATTTTGTGATATCTGCCAAAAATACAGACTGTGTTTGCTGTGGTAAGTTGTAGACATAGTCCGCTGTCGAATCTATGGGCCACCAGTATGGGACCTTCAGGCCAGTTTTAGTGAAGGTTTGCTGTGTTAATCCGCCGCAGTGCCATTTCACCACTTTGATCAGTGTTTTCATGATCTTAGCGGCGAGGTCTGCAAGGGGGGATGATATGATGTCTGAGGCATTGGTTAACCATCGGAAGGAGTTTTTGTGCTTCTTGTAAGTGGCAAAGAGGTAGGGTACTGTCTTTTTACCAAGCGGAATGTCTGGAAAAGTAGAAGACAGTTCCAGCTCAAGTTGTCTGAGTAGCTCGTTGGTAGTGCATAGGTAGGGTTCAAAGTCTGGGTCGGTAAGCCTTTATAGGGCTAGCTGTCTTACAAGGTTGATGCAGATTACCACAGGAGTGTTAGGTGCTTTGTCAGCACCGAAAATGTAGAAGTGTTTAGTGAGGAAGTCTATCTCGTGTTTGATTGTATGTTCGTTCATGTTAGTTTCCCTGTGGTGTCGCATGTTGGAGGTCAACCGGAGTATGATGTCCAAGAACTCTTTGCTAGCCTGAGGTATGTGCTCGTTTGGTATGGGGGTGCCATTTTGTTCCAGTGTTTTTATTAGGGCTTCCCATACCTGGTGGGCGGCATCAATGGTGTCCTTTTGGTTGGGGGTTTGTGCGGGGATGTAGTCTAGTCCGCACCGGGTAAGTTTCTACAATTCCTTGTTGGTGATAATGCTCAGATCCAATGTGAGGACATGGTCCCCGTTTTCTGATTGGATGACCTCCGGTGGTAGAGAGGTAGTGAAAGCATCATACCTTTAATACTGGCAAAAGCATTTCCCTTGTGTTTGATTTATCCATTCGGTGAGGGTGAAATCACGGAAGACAGCAACAGGTTTATATAGGGTTTTAGCAATGTGGTCGTTATAGGTCCAGGAGAACGTGCATCCGTTTAGGAGCGGAAGTGCGAGCGGGTTATATTTTTCCAGTATTTTATCGAATATTTTTCTGAACTTGAGTCTGTCCATTAACCGGTTGGGGTAACAGCATGGGATAATGATGTTTCTTTCTTCTTCGGGGGCTCTCCAACCAAGTCTTCCATCTTCCATGGTCTGTAGTCGATGTACCTGCACATGCAGCATGTCAATTGTCGTTGACATAAATTAGATAGTAGTTGGGTCTATGTTGGGTTAACCGTTGTTGAACCGGTGTGTGGTATCAGTATTTCGTTCTTGTGGTAGATAGGGCGGGCGTACTGCTATAGGCTTTTTAGCTGTTGAGGGAACGCCAGGTGTCTGTAGGTAGGTAGTATGTGGTGTGTTTTTAAGTAGGGTTTTGTGTTGAATAGGAAAGTATCTCTTTTTTTTTATGTGGTGTTGAGTTGTAGGTACGTATTGGGTCGGGGTTATATTGGCTTTTAAACTTATGTAATGTTTTTTTTGGGGGGGTTAGTTTAGTGTAACAGTTGTGGTATCGGGGTGTTTTTCAGGTACGGGCTGTGGGTTAGTTTGGGATTTATTGTGAACAGTTGGGGTATCGAGGTGTTTTTTAGGTACAGACTGTGAGTTTTTTTGGGGGGTTGTTTTGTAACAGTTGTGGTATCACGGTGGTTTTTAGGTACAGGGGATGTGAGTAGTTTGGGATTTACTATCTCGGGTGTGCCCAGGGAGTGCATTCAGTATTGATGACTTATTATTTTTGCAGAGATAAGCGAAAAAACCGTTTGGGGCAGAGTTCAGGTGCTTGGATGCTAGGAATTTGATGTCGTGCGTTGGCTGAGTACGCGTCTTATGGCAATATTTCAGATAGCAGAGTATCGGAGGGTTAGGGGTAGTTGTGGGGTGTGTCCTGTCAGGTGGCGAAGGGGGATGCAGCTGAAGGATTCAGGGGTCGGTTAACAACAAGGAGTTACAAAAAACCAACGAAAGAAGAAACCAGGAAGGAGAAGAGGAAGGAAAGAGGAATAGAAAGGAAGAAAAGAAGAAAGCAAGGGTTCAGCAAAGGATGATATTTTATGGGTAGACACGAGAGCCATAATTTCAATGGGCAGAGACAAGGGGGTTGGGATGTGGGGTCGGTCATGGCGAGTAACGCATGAAAATACTGTAAAAATCTTTTTATAAGCACAAGCTTAAAGTAACCAGAAAGCATGTTAAAGAGCAAGAGAGTAGAGGTATACATCAAGGCAAACAATAATCAAAGGTTCTTTATAGTCCGGTGCGAGAACCGGAAGAAGCAGAAACTGGCCAGCAAAGTTGTCTTGAATGTACCTGGTAACGTAGCACAAAAACATCTTATTGAAACGGAGTATCATTTATAACAGCTCAGAGCAAAAAACAGAGTCCTGATAAATCGAGACAGGGTGCAGGGTCGTGATCATTAGACCAGCCAAACTTTGTGGTCTGTCAGAGTCTTGCTGCAGTATCAGATGCCTGATCAGGAAAAATGGAGGCTATCGTCTTACCAGCGTACAATCTTTAGTCTATTATTAAGAAAAGCAAGCCTATTATTTATTAGTTTGCCTACGGGGCTAACAAGCTTACTTGTTAAAAGCATTATCAAGGTATTTATGCATGCTGTTGTTCAAGTCTGGTGTCAGTCCCCTGAAGCTATATTTGAAGAGGTACTGAAACTCGTTGTGCAAAAAAGCAGCGGGAGCGAGAGGTAGGATAAGAAGGTGTAGAGGTAACATCCAGGGGAGCAGGACAGGGAGCAATGGAGATCAAGAGAAAACATGGAAGAAGGGGGTGAGCGAAAGACAGAGGTTGTGGGAGGGGAAGTGGGAAGAAAATTAGTGGGAACAATGAGCTGGCTAGAGGGGTGGAAGGGGGGCAGTAAGGATCATGAATGGGAAGGAAAGAGGAAGAAAGAGAGATGGCAGGGGAGTCACGAGCAAGCGAGGGTCATAGAGGGCGAGAGCAAGAGGTACATAGCAGAAGAAGGTATGTTTCAACTAGTAGAGGTTATCACTACATGGTACGGGTGACACGGTAACTCGTTGTTAAGCTTGTCCGTGTCATCATGCGGCCAATCATCTTCTTGCAATACTTGTGGCACCGGCCAGATAATCTGGACTGAGCCTGCGGCAGACTCTTTTCCATGATTGTTCCGAAGACGTGGACTCGGTGCCGAGCGCTGTTTGGTTGCTGAAAGTATGGAGGAGTGATGATTCAGCGCTGCTGGCACCGTAGTTGTGCCTCAGAGCTTTGACAACATTTGCAGGCCGTATCGACGTTTCTGGGGATGGTGAGCTGATGGTGATAGAGAGTTGAGGTCTGCCGCCATCCAAGATTTCGTTGCTACTTACCGGGATGACTTCGGGGTTCGGCTGTGCAGGCGGTTGTCGCGGTATGTTTCCATCAGCGAGTCGCTGTGGCCATTGCTGTAGCACTTGCGCTATGGGTGGAAGCCAGGTGTGAGCGGGCTGTGACGGTTGGACAGGATGCGCTGGGCCTTCAGCAGCAATAGCAGGGGAGTTGGCACAGTTGCCTTGCTGGGCTGTCATCAGGGGCAATGAGTGGGCGACCAAGACATTATGCCGTTGTGCATGTGCATGGAAGATGTCATCCATGTATGGTTGCCGGTGATCGTATTGCTGAGTGTTGCGCCTTGCCCTCTTATGCCTCTGTCCGTCGTTATGTTGTGTGTTCAGTCTGGTGGTCTTGTTTCCTCTTCGGGTGTTTCTTCTTTTCTCAGCGGGCAGTGGGTTCATTGCAATTCTAAGCAGCTGCTCCCTCCTCTGTGCCCGCTTTTCTGCGTCTGTGACTACGTTAGAAGGCCGTTGTGTGGTGGAATTGGTATTGTCGACCGGTGTGGGGGCTGAGGCAGTGGGCAGTACGCTGGGAGTAGTGAAGAGGTTTGTGGTGGCAGCTCCTTGTACTGAGAACAAGGGGCATGTGCGTGCAGTGCTCGGGTTAGTGGAGGTGATGTTTCTGGCGGCAAGCTGAGCTGCGGCGAAGGTGAAGGCGTTCATTTGCAGGGGATGAGTGGTGAGGGCATTGGGGGGTTGCAGATCAGGGGGGTTGGCGATGGGAATGGGCTGAGGGCCAGTTTGCGTACTGGGTTGCAGCGCAGGGTGACTGTTGGGTGGTGGGTATGCGTGGTTCTGTTGTGCGATCTGGTTGTTGTGCGACGTGCGTAATGTGTCGTGTCTTTGCCCAGTTGGCAAGACTTGAGGGGGGTGGGGGCCAACTGTTGGTGTTGGCTGAGCAGTCAAACCAGGTTCTCTTAGTGGATGGGGTGTTGCGTCTGGAGCAGCAGTGTGTGGTCTGGGATTGGTGGCAGGTGGAGAGGCAAGGTGTACTGGCGTATATATATTGGCCATGCTTGGCAATGGTGACGGTGCGTGCACACTGGTGGTTGCATGTGGTGCTTGCGCAGTGGATGAGCGCGTTGCGGGTGAGGATGAGGCAGGGGTTCCGAGTCGCATCTGGCGGCATCTACGCAATGAGTTATCCTCAAAGTCAATGGTGCCGCTTCTTCTGGTGGCGTCTGGTGTGAGCAGTCCTTCAGCGTTCGGGAGGAAAGCCGCAGTGAATTTCCGTACGAAAGGCACGTTCTGGAAATCTTCGAAGGCGAGGATTTCCTCAGCGGAGATGTTCTTGTTCTGCGTGATGAGGTGCACAATCTTCATCATGTATTCTCGCATGAACAGGAACGTAATCTAGGCTTGAATCGGTCTCTTCCAAGTTGTGCGCAGTAGGGCTTGGAATTCAAGCATACGGATCTTGTCTGATGGTGCATTCGGATCCAGCTTGTCAAGGTTACCGATGATGTACCAAATCATGTGGTCGAGCCATGTGAAGTTCAGTTCGCAACCGTTGCATGCGCACTTGAGGAAGGGTCTTCGGGCATTCCACAGCTTCTTCAGTTCAAGCAGATCTGCAAGAAACCTAGGGATGCCTTTCTGGTGCAGCACCGGCTTTTTAGGACACTTGCCTTTCTCCAATTTGGCGATCGGTAGGAAGTCTGCGTCATAGCCAGCACGCCCAGCCGGAAAGTGGATAGTAGCGTTCTTGGCAGTTGTACGACAGTTGTCTATGTCCGTATTACTCAGGTCGGCGAGCGCCATGTAGGCGTCCACACTGATCGGTGCTGTATAGTTAAAGGAGTTCAGCTTCCAAAGCCTGTTGTGGACCCTTTGCACAACTTTTTTTGTCCACGTGCTTGATGCGAGTGGTAAGAAGGAGTTGTTCTTGCCGAGCTTGTGACTGGTTTCGTTGGAGGAACTGGAGATCTCCATGTAGGCGTTGTCCCTTCTCAAGGCCTCCTTTTTCTTGAGATAATCTAGTTCTGCAGGCGTAAGTGCAATGTTGCTGATGTAGGTGTCCATGAAAGTTTCTGAGGTGTCGTTCGTAGATATCTGACCAGCGCAGTCTAGATGCGAGGTGTCATACCCGTGGAGCTCGAGGAGGATCTTCTCAGCTTTAGCAACGATGAGGTTTAGTTCTCTGTTCTCGATTGCAGACTTTCTACAGACTTCTGCGGTGTTGGCGACAAGCTCCTTGATCTTGTCTTCGAGCTCATGGGGTCTGGTTTGCATGATAGCAACCATTGTGGCCCAGTCGCTGAAGGACAGGTTCTCTATAAGGAAGGGAGCTTGTCCGTTCGAAGCTTGGTGAACACGTAGGAGGACATCCGCAGGGATAGCCAACATGGCTATCTGACAGTGAACGTTGGGCGGCTTGAGTGCGGAGAATGGTCTAATAGTCGTTACCAGCTCCGGGTGCCATCCCATCAGAATACTGTCTTGGTCCTGCACAACGTAACGTACGCGCATCGAGAGTTAGTGTATGCTTGTTAGTAGTGTTCATACCGATGTGGGAGTATGGTTATAGGGGGGTAATGGTCTTGAGTGCCTTAGTATGGGATGGTGGGAGCAGCCGTAGGTTGGGCGTTGTATGCGTAGGTATATTTGCGATCTATAGGCAATGACGAAGATAAACTGTGTTGCATGCGAGGTCAAGATCATGTTGCTCGAATCGGGGGAAGGGTTCAGTGTAACTACTGTGTTTTATGGCCATCGTTTAACTTGAAGTATAGTTATGGATTTCTTAACAATAAGGTTGCAGTAAAGCAGGCGTGACGGGGTGTTGCATACCTGAGTCTTACGTGGAACTTAGGTTTGGCTGATTTATAACATTGTACGGTTGCTTCAGGGTACACGACTGCAGGTGGTAACAATATTTTTATTTTTATTTTTATAAAAAATAATTTATTTATTTTTTTATTATTTTTTTATTATTAAGGAAGTTAATTTATTTTTATAGGTAGAGTTCCTTATTATGTGTACAGTTAAGGAGGGGTCCTAAGCAAGCCATGGTCCGGCCAGGGTCAGGGGGGTGCCCGAGGCAAGGCTGGTGTCTGTCTGTTATATTGGGGTTTCGACAGATAGTCCGGGGGCCTGACTTAATTATCGAAAGCTATGCATGCTTGTAGTTTACATTTAATTATTTTATTTTTATATATTATTTGTTTGGGAATATAATTGTAAGGATAATTTATGTGAACTGTATTCGTGTTACATACAGGAATAGAGGGTAATTGTAGTAATACAGTTACTGCAGAGAGCATATAGTTGGTGCGGGTAGATAGTCTATAGGGGATCATTGGTGGATAACGCTAGTTAGCGGTGGTTATTCGGGTAGGTAGATCAACAATAAGTCGTTTGAATCCCTTTTCTCAAAAAATTAACGGCCTAGTCGTAGTGGTACTATCGGTACTGTTATAGTAATAGCAAAGCAAGTGAGAGTGGGTGATGGGGTCCGTCTCATCAGGTATTATATTTTTACAAAAAAACATGTTCCAGGGAGATCTGTTGTCCGAGGCACTTTTGATATTTACGAAAAGTTATGAATGGTTGTTTTGCGTATCGATCGGGGGGTGGAGGGTTGCCATTATACGCGGGGAGTAGCGGCTGTTTTAGGGGGTCAATCTGAGCTGGTACCGGAAAGCCATAGATTATAGAAAAAGTTGGTGCGAAATTAGTCCATTGCTTGGTACTATGAATTTCTATTAAATTATCATCAAGTTAGGATTTAACTATTGGTAATAAAGTCTCTTATTTTTAGTTTGTTATATAGTAAGTATATGTATAGTTTAGCTTTTGTATTTTATATATTTTATATATATTTTTTTTTAAAATAATTGCGAATATTTCACAACTTTATATATCATTATAAGGAAACGGGGTTACGTGGAGTCACACTTGTGTTAATCGATAGGAGATTCATTAAATTGTTACTACTTGTCGTTACCTTATACTTCTATACTATAGAGTATCCGAGGCGTTTTGCATAGGTTATTATAGCATAAGGAGTGAAAGATGTCAGGGGGTCGGGGGGCACGCCCGTTTTATTTTAGTGGGGCAGTATTTGCGGAGGGTACAACGTGCAGCGTTTTTCGATATTGGACGAAGGTGGGACGAAAATTTCAGCATGTTTGGTATAGGTTGTCGGTATAGCACGATGACAGGGTGATTGCTAGGTATCCATCAAGTATTTAAGGAAGCATGAGAGTAGGTTAGCATAGGTTGCGGAGCATTCCCGTTTGTTGCGGAAGCATGGCCAAGTGGTCGCATATGGGGGTGCTGCGGGAAATTCGGTTAGCAGTGGGGGACTGGAAGGGTTTATCATTGGAGTGAGAGAGAGAGGGGGGGAAGGAGACAGAGAGAGAGAGAGCGAGGGAGAAAAAGAGAGAGAGAGAGAGAGAGAGAGAGAGAGAGAGAGAGAGAGAGAGAGAGAGAGAGAGAGA